AATGTGGGGTGCACTGCTATCCCACGGAGGTGGTCTACCCATGATGAGACGTTAAAAGTTTCTAAATGCAAGGCATGGTGACACAGGCCTTTAATGCCAGAACTCTGAAGGCAGAAGGCAGGCAGACCTCTGTGAGCTCCAGGCCAGCCAGGGCTACATAGTAAGACCCTGCCCCAAAAATAAAGTCTCAAAACTTTTTTTTAAGTAAACTGATTTTGACTGATAGAATATTTGACGTCATCAAAACTATCATAGAAACAGGGTTTTCTTTTTCAGTGTTTTTTGAGCCCTGCATGTGCTATACAAGTACTCTACTGCTAAGCCCCACCCCAGCCCTCACTGGGGGATTCTAGGCAAGTGCTCTACCACTGAGCCACACCCCAGCCCTCACTGGGGGATTCTAGGCAAGTACTCTACGGCTAAGCCCCACCCCAGCCCTCACTGGGGGATTCTAGGCAGGTGCTCTACCACTGAGCCACACCCCAGCCCTCACTGGGGGATTCTAGGCAAGTACTCTACTGCTAAGCCCCACCCCAGCCCTCACTGGGGGATTCTAGGCAAGTGCTCTACCACTGAGCCACACCCCAGCCCTCACTGGGGGATTCTAGGCAAGTACTCTACTGCTAAGCCCCACCCCAGCCCTCACTGGGGGATTCTAGGCAGGTGCTCTACCACTGAGCCACACCCCAGCCCTCACTGGGGGATTCTAGGCAAGTGCTCTACCACTGAGCCACACCCCAGCCCTCTTTTTACTGGTTTAAAATGGGTTTTTGGTAGGTAGCCTACGCTGCTCTCAACTCACTCTGTAGCCCAGGCAAGCCTAAAACTTTAAATCCTCTTGAGTTAGCCCTGCACTACCCCATCAGCTGACCTCAATGAACTTTTCCTGAGCCAGACATCTGCTAAGAAAGCAGGACCAGAAGAAGCTCAGCCCACAGGGCAGTGAATCTGGGCAGCTCCGTAGGCAGGAGACAGACCCCAGGAATACCTCCCTACCCTGCCTGCTGCCACTGGGTTCCATGCCCAACACAGGATGCGGACTGCCCTCAAGGGTCACAGAACAGCCCAGAAAAGAATCATGCCTTTTTCATACATGGCCTAGCAGGGAGAAGAGAAACCCCCTCTCTGAAGGAAAGCTATCCTGGAACATAGATTCTCCCGGGAAATGCAACCAAAACTAGTAAGTCCCTGGGCACTGTGGTGTTCACCTTTAATCTCAGCACTGAAGAAGTTGAGGCAGGGGCATCACAAGAAGGAAGCCTGTCTGGGCCACTGAGCTCCTCCTGTCTTAAGAATCCACAAAAGCGGGAGGTGCAGAAGATTGGCTCAGTCCCGGCACCCTCATGGAGTACCACAACCTCTTGTAACTCCAATTCCAGGAGAAACAATGCCCTCTGGCCTCGGGCACCTGCACGTATGTGACCTACATAAAGTCACACAAGCACACATACACACACATATATAAAAGAATAGCTTTTAAAGCTAGGAGAGGTGATGGAGAGATGGCTCGGCCTTTAAAAGCACTGGCTGCTTTTTGCAGAGGGCCAGGGGTCAGTTCCCAGCACCCACCAGTGACTCATAACCACCTGTAAGTCCAGTTCCAGGAGGATCTAATGCCCCTTCTGACCTCAGCATACATATGTGCTGGCAAACACTCACATAAAAACAAATAAATTTTTGTTGTTGTTGTTTTTGTTTTTTTGTTTGTTTTTTGAAACAGTGCTTCTCTGTGTAGCCCTAGCCATCCTGGAGCTCACTCTGTAGACCAGGCTGACCTCGAACTCACAGAGATCCGCCTGCCTCTGCCTCCCGAGTGCTGGGATTAAAGTGTGTGCCACCACCACTGGTCATAAATAATTTTTTAAAGTCCTGACTAAGTCAGGAGTGGTCATTTGTGACTGTGATCCCAGCATTTGAGAAGGTGAGACAAGTGGATGCCAGCAGCTCACTGCTCAGTCGGCCTGGCTGACTCGGCAAGGTCCAAACCAATGAGAGACCCTGTCTTAAGAAAGAAGCAGAGAGGGTGGGGAGATGGCTCACTGATTAAGAACACTAGCTGGTCTTCCAGAAGTCCTGAGTTCAATTCCCAGCAACCACATGATGGCTCACAACCATCTGGTGCCCTGTTCTGGTGTGCAGGCACACACACAGAACCCCAAGAACTAACTAGCAAGATTTCTTAATCTTTACAAACCCACAATAAGATATACTTCATCTTTTTGTTTTGTTTTGTTTTTTGTTTTTTTGTTTTTTGTTTTTTGAGACAGGGTTTCTCTGCGACTTTGGAGGCTGTCCTGGAACTAGCTCTTGTAAACCAGGCTGGTCTCGAACTCACAGAGATTTGCTTGCCTCTGCCTCCTGAGTGCTGGGATTAAAGGCGTGCACCTTTATTTATTTATTATGTATACATAATAAATCTTAAAAAAGAGAGAGAGAGAAAAGAAAATAAAGGAGAACAAGTAGGGCTAGAGAGATGGCTCAGCAGTTAAGAGCACTGACTGCTCCTCTAGAAATCCTGAATTCAATTCCCAGCAACCACATGGCAGCTTACAACTGTCTATAACTTCTGATTCAAGGGATCTGGCACCCTCACACAGACATACATGCAGTAAAAAGACCAATGCACACAAAGATAAAAATAAATCTTAAAAAAATTAAGAAAACAAAGTGGACAGCTTCCGAGGAATGATATCCTCTGGTTTACACACACACACACACACACACACACACACACACACACACACACACACACACAGAGCCCATCAAAACATTCCTTCCCTTTCCAGGGCTCCTTTCTTCCAACTTTTCCTTCCAGAAGGATCTATTGCTGCACAGTGGAGTCCCAGGCTGTCCCCCACACCTGCCTCACTCACCTGTGTGAAGCTGGAGCCCATCAGTGTCTTGACTGGGTCTTGAGGAGCAGTGGATGGAGGCAGCAGCCACTGAGGGCAGGCACTTAACTCGAAGGCCCAGGAAGAAAGCCTCTGCACAGTTTCTAAGGTGGTCCAGCAGGGGGCATCCCGCCAGCCCCTCACTCAGATCTAGGTGAACAGAAACACACCAGCCGGCTGTGACCTCCTGCCCAGTGAGTCTCACTCATGCTGGCCCTTTAGGTGAAAAAGGCAGGGATCACAGTCCTGTGTGATAATTCAGGGTGGGTGAAGGCATCTAAGCTGACTGGAAGAGGGCAGCTGGCATAGCTAGAAGCTAACAGGTCCCAGGCCAAGAGGAAGGCAGCCTGGCTAGGGCAGAGGGGCATAAACTGGCAGTGGTGGCCAGGGCACCAGGTGCAGTGAACAGCCACTGGAGGGAGGGGCATGTGCTCTCTGTGTGCCACTTGGACAGGGCACAGATCTTGGATGGAAACAAGAAGTGAGTGGTTTCAGGGTCCCCAACAATGTTAGAAATGAGGCTGGAGGTGTGGCTCAGTTGGTCAAATGCTTACCAAGCATGCACAAGGGTCTGGATTGCAGCCCCATCACTGTGCACAGGGGCATTGTGGTGCACACCTGTAATCCCAGCACTCAGGAAGCGGGGGTAGGAGGGGCAGGAGTTAAATTTGTTCAGGGCCAGCCCAGACTAAGAGGGATGGAGAGATGGTTCAGCAGTTGAGAGCACATATTGCTCTACTAGCGGGCCCAAGTTCAATTCTCAGCACCCACTTTGGGCAGTTCACAACTGCTTATTACTCCATCTCCAAAGAGATCAGACATCTCTGGCCTCTGAGAGCACCTGTACTCATGTGCACAAACCCACACAGAGACACAAATACACATATTAAAAATAAGAATGGAAAGAAGTCAGGCAGTGGTGGCATATGCCTTTAATCCCAGCACTAGGGAGGCAGAGGCAGGTGGATCTCTGTGAGTTAGAGGCCAGCCTGGTCTACAGAGTGAGGTCCAGGTCAGCCAAGGCTACACAGAGGAACCCTATCTTGAAAAGAAAAAAGGAATGGAAAGAAGTGAGAGCGGGCAAAAGACAGGTCCTAGGCCCATCCCACCCTCCTACCCACAGATGACGTAGGCAGAAGGGCATGAGCAGTCTGCTTGCTGAGGGATGCTGGGCCGCAGGAACCTCAGTGACTGTGGCACTCTGGTCCTAAGCATCAGGAAGGAACTGTCGGAGAACCCAGGCTGGTCACTGAGGTGCCATTTGAAGGGGCAGGACAAAGCAGGGTATATCAATGTCTCAAAAAGTCTGTGCCCTCTGTCCTCAACTACAAAGCTAATAGCCACAACAAGTGTCCTGTGTGTCCCAGTGCCAGGTAGGGACCTACTAACTTTGGTATACTGAGAACACAGGGGCCAGCTTGTCCCTCCTCCCTCTCCAGCACCTGGCTGAGCCATTTCTCAGCCCTGGTCGTCCTACTTCCTCTAGTCTCTGCCTGACAAGAAGAGCTGGAGGATTCTCTGGAGATCCCCCAAGGCCCCTCCATGCCAGTCCAGTGTCTTCTAAGAGATCATGAGGCCGGTTGGATTTGCCTTCAAATCCCACCTTATCCAGAATCCAGCTGTGTCACCAGGCAAGCCAGCAACATGGCCAACCTCAGCTTCCTGCCTGTGAAATGAGTGGTTCCTGCCCTCAGCACCCACAGAGACCCAGCACAGGACCTAGGGTAGTGCAGGTTATATCCAGGTCATGGCCAGGACTATGAGCACACACCTAAATGGCCCGTGTGTACCGATAGAACGGGGAATCCTAAAAAGGCAAGCCACATTGCCTTTCAAGTCACTTCTGCCTGGGGCTATTTTGTTTGTTTATTGTTTTTCGAGACAGGGTTTCTCTGTGACTTTGGAGGCTGTCCTGGAACTAGCTCTTGTAGATCAGACTGGTCTCGAACTCACAGAGATCTGCTTGACTCTGCCTCCTGAGTGCTGGGATTAAAGGCGTGCACCACACCACTTCCCAGCAGCCTGGGGTTATTTCTTACTGGGAGTTTCTAGGCAGCTGCTCTACACTGAGTCACACCCCAGTCCCTCACTAGGAGATTCTAGGCAGTTGCTCTACAACTGAACCACACCCCCCAGGAGTTCTGATGGCTCCCGCCCAAATCTCATACCTATAGGCTGCAGGTAAATGTGTTTGCGGGCCAGGCTCTGTTTCCGGGGCTGCAGGGAAGCATGGAAGGTTTCAAAATCCTCAGGGGCCTCTGGATAACTCAGGAGCCAGTCAAAGGCCGAGTGGATGAGCAGTGTGCTGAAGAGGGTCCGGTGAGGGTTGTAGGCCTCAGACAGGAAGAGCCTCTCTGACGGGGAGAAGGCTGAGGTATAGAGCTGCTTCAGGGCCAGATCACGGGAGATCAAGGCATCCTTCAGGGCCCGGGGCCCAAAGTTGAACTCCTGGGGTGGTCTGCACTGCAGCATGGTGTGTGTGTGGCCCCTGGCCACTCCCTGGAGCTCCTTTTCTGGCCCATGAATCTCCCAGGGGACAGCCACGGTCTCTTCTAGAACCTTCCCTCAGGCTGATAGAGTAGCTGCTTGGGGCTTCCAGGAATGGAGACTGAAGTGAGAGACTGTGTGACTCAGTTCTGCCTTGTGCTGGAACTTCTCGGCAAAGCGAGCAAAGGCTTGCTGTATCACCCTGCAGAGGACACCCCAGGCACATGGTCACTGTTTTGATCACAAATGACTCTCAGACTAGAGGCAGTTTTCTGTGAACTGGAGTCAGAAGGATGCAGTCTGCCTCTAGGAGGTAGCATTCACCCAGTCAGATCAGAAAGGATGCGTGGGCACCTGCCCTGCGCCTGCTCGTGGTGTCTGCGTGCCTGTGGAGGCCAAAGGTTGACGTCAAGTCTATCACTCTCCACTTGACTTTTGGAAAAATAGTCTCTCCCTGAACCTAGAGCTTATAAATTCAACCAGACTGTCTGGCTAGCAAACCCGCAGACATGCCACCTCAGTTTGTCACATGGGTGTTGGGGATCCAAACTCAGATCCCCATGGTTGTGTGGCAAGTGCTCTACCCACTGAGCCATCCCCCATCCCAGAACTGAGCATGGAGGTGCCCTATTTCCTCACAGAGCTGTATGTACTTCCACGGGTCCCCAACTCTGCTTTGAGCCCTCAGAAGCTAGAGGACTATAAGGAGGCCTCTACTCTTCAAGGCTAGGAGGGCTCCTTCAAAAAAGCCAGAGGCTGCTCTCCCTGCCTTTAAAATGCATCAGGTTCCCCTGGGAAGATGACCAGGCCCTCCCCCAAACCATAGGCTTCCTTTCAAGAGCCCTGAGTGCACCCAGGGGCTGTCCTCTGGGGAGGAAGGCAGCCCGACGCCTCCCAGGCCCTGATTTCTAGAATATTAACAAGGCTCTAAGACACAGACCTAACAGGCAGCACGCATTTGGGACGCAGCAAATTGTAACTGGAGGCAAGCAGCCAGGCGGACAGGCAGAGGGGCTGCGAGCGGTGGTAGTCGCTGTCAACCAGAGCCCTCCCTAGGAGTGAAGACTGGCACATGGGTGCTTCCATCGGGTCATGCTGGGCTCCAGACACAGACTGCTTTGGGCTTCCTTTTGCATCTCAGAGCAGTTAGCTCAAGCAGGAACAGAGGGCTGGCAGATGCTGTTTTCCTTCCCTGCCCCGGCATGGTCGGCTCCCAGAGGGGAGGAGGGGCGCAACCCCAGAGGCCCTGCAGGTGCTGAGCACCTGATTCCATGCACATCTCACCAACCTATTTTTGTTTCCAAATGCCAATCACACCACCTACTTAGACTCCTTGCTCTGCCCCAGACTTGCTCACAAACACAACACCCCAAGCTTGAGTCAATTAAGCCAGGAGCCATGCTTCCGAATTACTCCTCAAGGTTGTAGCTACTTCATCCCTTCTCTCTCTGTGTCTCTCTGTCTCTCTCCTCCCTCTCTCTGTCTTTCAGTGATAGAGATGGAACCTGGGTCCTGATGCAGGCTAGGTAAACCCTATCCCTGAGCCATACTTATAACCCCTCGATGGGAAGTTCAAAGCAGGTGCTCCACTGAAGAGCCATGCCCCAGCCCCTCACAGGGAGATTCTAGGCAGGGGCTCTACCACTAAGCCACACTCTAAGATCAGAATTACCCTTTCTGTAACTCGAAATGGTCTATGTGTTATTTCTCTGGAGTAGCCCAAGAAGGTCTACCTCACAGCTTCCTCAAGAGAAGAAAAGAAGGGAGACCATGGTATCACAGACATCCTGAACCACTCTGATTAACATCTTGCATACCTCATCTGTCATTCTGAAAATCACTCAGTATCAGGGTGATGGTGCTCACCTTTAATCCCTGCACTCAGGAGGTAGAAACAGGCAGATCTCTGAGTTACAGGCCAGCCTGGTCTACAGAACAAGTTCTAGAACAGTCAGGACTACACAGGGAAACTTCTCTCAGAAAAAAAAAGAAAGAGAAAAGAAAAGAAAGAAAGAAAAAGAAAATCTCCCAAGGTTCACTGTGTGAGAGGTGTGTGTGTGTGTGTGTGTGTGTGTGTGTGTGTGTGTGTGTGAACATGGAGACCAGAGGTCAATGTCAGGAGTCTTCCTCAATCATGTTCCATGTTATTTTTGGGCAGGGTCTCTCATTGACCCTTCAGCTTATTAATCATCTAGACTGGCTGTCCAGTGAGCTCTGAGGACCCTCCTGTTACCACCTCCCCACAACAGGGCTACAGTTACAGATGTGGACTGCTATATTTGCTCTTATGGGGGTCTAGTACCCACTGAGATATCTCCCCAGTCCAAGACTATTTTTAATCTAACACTTCATTTGACCATTATGGCAAGTTTGAAGTGTGGTTATTAATATTTACCCATCTTATTGCCAAATAAACTGAGGCTCAGAGAGGCAAAGCCGACTGTCCTGGGTTGCACAGCTCGCTTGGATCCTGACTATGATTTAGTTCCCTCTAATCTTGACTCGTGGACCCTCTTCTACCCATAGGGTCTTCCCTGTGAGCATCCAATTCCCCTCTTACCACCACACATACAAGTCAGGGTCTTCGTTGCTGCCAAACACTCGGCTCAGGGAGAGCCACAGGAAAAGAGAAGTGTTGTCGGTGAGACGGGGTCTCGCTATGTAGCCCAGGCAAGAGCTTTCTTTTTAAAAAGTTCTCAGGCTTGGCCATGTTCATTCCAGTCCCAGCTGTTTAAGGTCTGTCCCCTGCATGCTACTCAGGAGGGCTGCTCTTGTACCCACACACATGCTCAGAGCATCATCTTGACGGGAGGAAGCCAAACCAGAGAATCACCCTGGCGTCTACTCCATGTGGAGTGCCATGGGGCAGCCCCCCCCAAACCCACGGCTTAAAGAAACAGGACACAGCTCCAGGCAACACTGGATGTATGTCACTTGTTGTACCTGCAAATCCAGTACTTGGGTGGCTGAGGCAGGAGGATCACCACAAGTTTGAGGCCAGCCTGGGTTATATGGTGAGAACAACAAGTAGGAAGACAAATGGCATCAGAGGATGATGGGATATTGGGGGTGGGGACCAAAGGAACCACCTTCCAACGGGAACTGGAGGCTGGTTTGACAGGGTCTAAGTTGGGTGCCAGAGAAAGCAAGCCTCAATGTCCCTTCTCATGTCTTTCTCTGGGGTCTGGTAGCCCGGATGTCTACACAGACAGCACTTCCTCTCAAACAGCCCTTGTGGCCATATTCATCTTCTGGGGTTCTTAGAAGACGGCTCTATCCCCGCTCTTGTCCACTATCTCAGTTTTTCCGTCTTGTGTGTCAAGTCCTCACAAGACCACACACTTCATGTAGAGACTGAAGCTTCAGGAGGAAGTGGTCCTAGCAGCTGAAGTAGCCACAAAAAAGGCTGCACGGACTGTGAGGGGTCACCCCACCCTTCCCACCCATCCTGTCAGCCTTGTCAAATCCTCCTCAGAATAAAACGCCTAAGCTGGCCCTGAGCTGTCCTCTGTGGCTGTCCAGCCTGTGTCCCACAAACCTTGAGATCTCAAAGAGCTAGAGAGATACTGCCATTTCATCAGGGAAACTGAAGCACAGAAACATTCTTGATTGGTCATGGGTCACGGGGAGAGGCAGGAAGTCTCCTGGTATCCAAGCCATGAACCAGCAGGGTAATGAGGGTCTAGGTCAGTAGTTCTCAACCCATGGTTTGCAACCCCCATGGATTGCATATCAGATATTTGCATTACGATTCATAACAGTCGCAGCATGAGGAAGGGTGAGAACCACCGTCCTAGAGCAAGGCATGCACCACCCTCTCCCTTCTCTCCCCTGCTGCTCGCTATACCTAGATTCCCTCCCTGTGAGGCGCCTCCCTCTCCGTCCTGTATGGTTCAAAGCCTGGGACAATATGCAATGTTCTTGCTCAGGTTCTGGCTCCCCAGAGAGGCAACTTGAGGTCACCAAGATCAGGTCACCCAACTCCAGTATACTTGTTCCCTTCTCTTATTTGTATTGTTATTTTGAGGTAGGGATTTATCCTGTATCTTGGGCTAGCCTTGAACTGGCAGCGATGCTCCTGCCTCAGCCTCGCAGTGGCTAGAATCACAGGCTTGCCTCACCACATCCAGCAGATGCCTGCCCTTAGGACAAGAATCACGCTCTGCTCCTTGTTATTCTGGAGACTACAAAAAAAAAAAAAAAATGCCCAGCAGCAGCAGGGGTTCATTTACTGAGGGCCAAATCTTCAAGGCAGCTTTAAGCAGCCCCGGGGAGAAGGAAATGCTAGAAGTGTTTAGAGAGGGGAACCTGGCTTAGACGGCTGGGGGAGGTCTCCCCCGTGCAGACCCCACCCTCACCTGTGAGCCCCAAATTCCAACCTAATTTCCTTTCAGGCAGTGAAAGGTCCCGCACCTGAGCTTCCCACAAGCTCGGAGATGGTCCTACCTTCCCGGAGCTGTGACATCACCAGGTGGCGGTCACTCACACCCGTCCCAGACACAGGCTGGGAAGCAACCCAGGGAAGAGAGACTTCGCCTCTCTGGGGACATCCCACAATAGCCATCTGTCCTTGCTGGGGAATGTCTTCCTTTGGGAGCATTCCCACAGCCTGATGCCGCCCCTCCCCATCTGACGATGTCAAGGCTGTTTGACCTGGTAGCTGCTGACAGGGAGTGGGCATCCCTCCCTTGGGGACCCTGCTCCTTCCTAACTGTCTGGAACCTGACCACCAGCGTGACACGTATCAAATTCCGGTCCCTGAAGCTCACCTAAATCTTTATCCAAGTCCACCCTGTGCGTCACGCGGTTCCGGGCACAGGGACACGCCGCCACCACCCAGACGTCCCCCTGGCTTGCGCTGGCTGGAACCCCCCCGCTCTGCAGCACTACCTGCACCCACCCCGGTATCAGGCCCCCTCCAGGTCCCTTCCTGTGGCTGCTCTCCATGCACTCCCTACCTCGCAGCCCGGTGTCCTCCGGAACTGCCCCAGAGCAGTTTGGTGTGCGGGCCACAGGGATCAAACCAGTCCTGGTATGACGTCAGCACGCGAGACTAGGACCGAAGCGGGATCCGGTGGAAAGTGCTAAAGGAGGACGGTAGGAAACGGTGCCACACCCTCCCCAGTGGCGCTCAGACTTCTGATGTCTTGTCTGCTCAGGAGCACGTGGGACTCGGACACTCCCAGCAACGTGTGCTTCAGAGCTCATCTCATAGCCGGAGGAGAAGCCGGCACATCCCAGCCTAGGACACCAGAGGAAAAGTCAAACGGGGTGGGGGTGGGGCAAGGAGGTTGAGGGCTCCGGGCCAATCTGGGTTATATATAGTGAGAAGTTGTCTCAAATACAATCAAAGCCAAAGCTAAACAAATACAGGTTGTTCTTGTTTTTTGTAAAACAAACAAACAAACAAAAACCCAGGCAAATTCCTGTCTACGGAGGAGCAGGAGGTCCTGAGTCAGACACACAGCGTAAACCGTATGGCAGTGCATGCCTATAACCCAAGGCCTCCAACTTACTCTGTAACCAAGGATGGTCTTCCTGCCTCTACCTCCTGCGGTTGCAGGGCTACACTATCACACCCGTTCCTGCAGTGCTGGGGACTGAACCTAGGACTGGGTTGCATGCTAGGCAAGTACCAACTGAGCCATATCTCTAGCCCCAGACAGTATTCTGAATGCTTCCAGAACATTCTTAACCACAGTCACCTACAAGTTTGTTCCCATTTTGCTGATGGAAAAACTGAGGAGCAAGCAGGAAAACTGATGGAGCTACAGACTGAAAACTCAGCTGAGGATTTCCCAACTTCATCAGGTTCTTGTGCTCTTCTTATTCCTCTTCTAGAGCATTCTTCCCCCCAAATAAGAAGGAGGATGCCTCAACCTCTGTGACACCTGTGGATGCTAAATCAAGGTTTTATCCTGTCCTTCTTGCTGTATCTGAAGTCCAAGCTCTGGACCCAAAAATAGGGCCTGGCAGAGAGCAGGCATTCAATACATACTAGCCAAGGGCAGAGACACATAACCTGCCAAATAAATTACCTTAAGCTGGTATAGACCGTTCATGGTGGCCACATGGGACTGTTTAGTCACTTAACATACACTTTTTATGCTGCCAGAACAGGGAGGCAGACAGATAAAGAAGGTTCCATGAGAACAAAGTGCCACCCCAGGGACCAGAGGACAAGGGACAGCTACAACCATGTTGAGGTCACGTTAGCCCTGGGTTCTTGGCTGCCCCTGGGGATGTCCTTGAGGCTATGGATGGCCAAACCTAACCCAGTGTGGGCGGCACCATTCCCTAGGCACGGGGTGGGGGGAAGGGGGGTGGGGGGTTTGAGCTGTGTAAGGACAGAAGAGTGGGGTTGAGCACAAGCATGTGTGTCTATTCATTTCCCTCTGCTCCTGGCTGTGGTATGACGTGACTGACAGTTTCAGTCCCTTCCTGGACTCCCCTACTAGGACAGGCTGTAATCAGGAGCTCTTGGGTAAGGACAACCCCTATCGCCCACCCCTCTCCCCCCCCTCGCTAGGCTGCCTTTTTTTTTTCCAGGCTGTTTTACCATGGCAACAGAAAAGAAGCTAGGATGGGGGGATGAAGGGGTGGTGTTTCCAGAGCTGAGAACTGTGGTTATAAAGTGGTGATGGGGGAGGGAGGCTGCTGTGTGTGTGTGTGTGTGTGTGTGTGTGTGTGTGTGTGTGTGTGTGTCTTTGGTTCTTTGTTTTGTTTTTTGAGACAGCATACTCACTCTGTAGACCAGGCTGGCCTCCAACTCAGAAATATGCCTGACTCTGCCTGCCAGAGTGTTTGTGATTAAAGGTGTGTGTCACCACTAACTGCCCAGCTGGGAGGCTGCTACTTAACAGCCATGCACTGAGTGGAACTCAGGCAGAGCAGGTGAAATGAGATAATACACTGGAGGCGCCAATGAGAGGGCTCAGCGGGTAAGGGTGCTTGCCACTAAAACCTGGCCACCTGAGTTCGAACCCCAGAATCCATGTAAGGCAGAAGGAGAGAACTGACTCCACAGAGATGTCTTCAGACCTCCACACATTCTCTCTCTCCTCTCTACCCCCCTCTGTCTCTGTCTCTCTCTCTGTCTCTCTGTCTCTGTGTCTCTGTCAATCTCTCTGTCTCTCTGTCTCTCTGTCTCTCTGTCTCTCTCTCTCTCTCTCTCTCTCTCTCTCTCACACACACACACACACACACACACACACACACACACACACACACGGCAATGAGTCACTGTGGTAGTTCTGTCCACTTGGGAGGAGACAAAGAAGAATGGACAAGCAGACACTGACCACAGTGCTGGGAGCCCACAGAGTCTGTTCCATTCCATCCAACCCAGGTGTGGACTCAGGAGCCAAGAGCTGGGAAAATGTTTTCACAGGGATCACGGGACCAAGAGGCCACCTGGAAGCAGCTGCTCTCACACCATATCCCCCTGTCCTAGGCCCTCCAGGAGCTGCTGAAATGTGACAAACTGTGTGTCAACCCTGCAGTAGACTCTCACCCAGTGAGCCCAGGGAAGTATTCCCATAGACCCAGGACAGAGGTACCCTGGGGTGTGTGTCCTAAGGTCAGGTATCTCACATGACCTCTGAGCCTTCACAGGCCTCAGTCAGGCTGGGCGTCTCAGCGCCTCCTCTCTGATAGACATAGGATGAAACAAATCATGCCCAACTCAGGCAGACGGGCTGGAGATATGGCTCAGCACTTAAGAGCCAATATTCTCTCAGAAGACCAGAGTTTGGTTCTCAATCCCCAGTACTCACAACCTGAAACTCCACTCCAGGGGAACCAGTGCCCTCCTCTGGCCTCTGTGGGCACTGCATACACATGCACATACCCCACCACTGCTCTACACACATGCACATAGCTAAAAAATAAATCTTTAAAACATAAAAAACAGCTGGACGTTGGTGGCGCACGCCTTTAATCCCAGAACTCGGGAGGCAGAGGCAGGTGGATCTCTGTGAGTTCGTGACCAGCCTGGTCTACAGAGTGAGTTCCAAGACAGCCTCCAAAACAATACAGAGAAATCCTGTCTCGAAAAAACAAAACAAAACAAAACATAAAAAACAGCATTGCATGCCTTTAATCTCAGGACCTAGGAAGTAGAGGCAGGCAGATCTCTATGAGTTCAAGGCCAGCCAGGTCTCTACTACAGTAGAGACAGGACTACATAATAAGATCCTGTCTCAAGCAATCACCAGCTAGTGGGGAGAGAGAGAGAGAGAGAGAGAGAGAGAGAGAGAGAGAGAGAGAGAGAGAGAGAGAGAGAGAGATCATCGTTCTCTTCCCCAGAGCCTCAGGTGGTTCCAGATACTTGTAGACCACTAACCCACAGGCAACACAGTGGTGGGGGACATCTGTGCCCATCACAACAACCCCAATAATGAGTAGATGGGCTAGGCCTGAATACCCTCTATATCAAGAAATCAGCATGCCAGTATCAGAGCAATGGAGCCCCCATATCTATCATTACCAAACCACAGGCCCAGCCTATTTCTTCCCATCTGGTAGGGGCAGCTAGCCCTACTGTGTTCTAGAAGTATTAGGTAGGAGCATCAACCCCAAAGTCACCTGGGTGGCCAGGAAGAACCTGAAGGGACATGCTCTGGTCCCTTCAGGTTGAGTGGGGAATCCAGTTCACAGGGGAGCTTCCCCAATGTGTCAAGCATTGTTGTCCCAGTTAAATCTCGATGCCTTTTCCCAAACCTCCCTTTCTCCTTGGGTATCTTTAGAGTAACAGATTCTTTCATGATGGGATTGGGCAGCCTCTTGGAACATTTGCAGGCAGCCTGCCCTCTCCAGCCAAATTCTTTGGAAACACGCTCCCCTCCCCCCATGAGCACCCTCATGAATGGCTGAGCCATGCATTGCCATCATTCCCGCAGGACGAAAGAATTGTCCTTAAGAAAATAATGATTAAGAAATAATGATTCGCCGGGCGTTGGTGGCGCATGCCTTTAATCCCAACACTCGGGAGGCAGAGGCAGGCGGATCTCTGTGAGTTCGAGACCAGCCTGGACTACCAAGTGAGTTCCAGGACAGCCTCCAAAGCCACAGAGAACCCTGTCTCGAAAAACCAAAAAAAAAAAAAAAAAAGAAAAAGAAAAGAAAGAAAGAAATAATGATTCTACCGTAAACATCCAATGCCAACAATGCGGGGAATTCTGAAAAAGAAATCAGAGGGTGACCCCGTAATCCCAGTGTCAGGTCTCTTTCCTAATTTCTGACATTTCCCGCCTCCACATTTTTTTTTGTTTGTTTTTTGTTTTTGTTTTTCGAGACAGGGTTTCTCTGTGGCTTTGGAGGCTGTCCTGGAACTAGCTCTTGTAGACCAGGCTGGCCTCGAACTCACAGAGATCTGCCTGCCTCCCAAGTGCTGGGATTAAAGGCATGCGCCACCAACGCCCGGCTCCCCCCCCTCCACATTTAAAACCATCTTAAAGGGATTGTCCACATAGTCCACTCTGTTCGAAGTTGTTTCTTTCCTTCCTCTTCCTCCCGTCCTCCCTCCTTTCCTTCTTCCTCCCTCTCCTCTCTTTCTCCCTTCCTTCTTTACTTCCTCCCTCCCTCCTGCCAAAGATTTAGGTCTCACTGTATAGTCCAGGTTGACCTTAAATTCACAAAGCTCTTGTCTCACTTTCCCAAGTGCTGCTATTACAGGCTTGCACTGCAGAGCAGCTAAAATGCCACACTTGTGATGAGGATTTTCTACTGGACTTCATTACGGCAAAAGCTAAGGCTGTGAGAAAAGGTCTGTTCCAAAGCTGGCTGCTATGAGGAAGCTGTGAGGGACTGGGGAGATGACTCAGTGGGTAAACTGCCGCCCTGATAGCATGAGCCCTAGCAGCCAAGAAAAGGCCAGGCATGGAGAGGCAGCGGGAGCCACAGGGTCAGTGAGAGACCCTGCCTCAAAGAAATAGGGTGGGTTCTAGGGGTGTGGTGTGCACATCTTTAATCCCAGTATCCAGGAGGCAGAGGCAGGAGGGTCTCTATGTGTTAGGGGCCAGCCTGGTCTACATATCCTAGGCCATCCAGAGACCCATTCTCAAAAAGCCAAAACCTAACTTGGAGAGCAATTGAGAGCTATGCCTGGGATTGACTGCCGGCCTGCATACACATGTGCACACATAAATGAAGTTGTAGAATGTCCCTTCTTGTCACAGCTGGAAGATGCCAGAGCTACAACAGCCAGGCTTCCAGTTTTTTGTTTTTTGTTTTGGTTTTTCGAGACAGGGTTTCTCTGTATTGTTTTGGAGGCTATCGGTCCAGCCCGGCCTCGAACTCACAGAGATCCGCCTGCCTCTGCCTCCCGAGTGCTGGGATTAAAGGCGTGCGCCACCACAGCCCGGCTC